TCGAAAAAGGCCGAGAATACAAAGATGCTGTAAAAACAAGCAAATCCACAGCCTCAAGTCATCCTGGTCTATCTATGCAATTCGGATAGCCGAGTGTCCGGGGATACCGTTTCCCGTTTCCCCGGATATCCCCCATTATCCGAATACACCGGGCCGATGATGAGTGCCGGGAAGTCCTGAACCGCGACTGAAAACACCAAAACAAAGCTGTCGGATATCATGTCCGAGAATCAAATCATTTTAAAAAACCCCAAACTCCAAATCTATGCGGTATAGGAAGATGCCACCAATTCCAAGGTAGCATTTAAGCATTGTTATCCAATACCCCGAATGGGTTCTCGCCCTTTGTGTTCGGGCTAGACGAAGACTCATCGGCCTTTTGCTTCTTAGCCCCCTTCTTCGCGGGAACCTTAGCGAACCCCTGTTCAGACTCGGACCGGCTAACCAAGGCCGAGACAGCATTTGCCTTGGAAGCAGCAGCCGAGCGGGTGCGGACTGGCGAGTCAGGGGTGGTAACCTTGCCGGCGATCTTCTGGGCCTGGGCTTTGATGACCTCATCGTCAGTGGTAGCTTCGCTGTTCTCGCCCTCAATGGCAGCCTTGCGAATTTCGCGGCTCAGACTCTTCAGAGCATCCATGCCAGCCTTCTCAGCGGCCTCCATGTGCGTGGGCTGCTTCACTCCTACATCCTTGCGGTTCAGGTAGGAGCGGACGAAGAAGCGCGCAAAGAGGTAGGTGAGAGGAAGAAGGTAGGAAACGTTCAACCAGATGGCGAATGCCTGTCCGGTGGTGTCCGCACAGGTCATCATCTGCTGGGAGTAGCCGGATTGCTGGACAGGCGCGGCGGTGAAAGAAGTACCCACGTTCTCGGCAAGTCCTTCTGCGCCCGCAGCCCGGAATGCCAGCTTCTTCAACCAGGAGATCGTACCAACATCGGTAGTGGCAGAGGCAGTGGCGGAAGCGGCATCGGTCAGGTGTTGCAAGGCGGCGCTACCGGACGGGTAGGGGATAGTGTAGTGGACAAATAGGTAGGCGGCGGCCATGTTAGTTCCGAAGACGAACTGGGTGATTTGCATGGTGGTCAAGCTGCGCTTGATGGCGTTAGGGACGCGAATGCGGAGGGCCGTGAGGGTATAGTAGGTGTACTAAAGTAAAGAAAAAGATTAGTAAGTTTGCGTAACAAAAGCAATGCGATTGTCCGACTTACCATCATAGCATGAATAGCCGAGTTAACCAGGCAGAAGATCCAAATGGGAGCTGCCATGTAGCGGATACCAGCCCACATGCACATCATAGCTCCCGCGTGGTGGTAGGTCTGTAGGGTGGAGCTCTTCTTGCCCTTGGCCAGAATGATCGCGGTGTCGACAACCTCGTAGAACTTGGACAGATAGAAGAACCAGCCGAAGTAAGCCAAGCCCTGGTTCCACAGACGGCCAGCATCCGTGGGGTCTGGCATGCCGTTGGTGAGGTGGAAGGCGGGGTTGGGAATCGACCACTCGTCAGTGATGGGGCTGTATGTAGCGGCATTGCCGTAACCGCGGGGTCCATTGATCTTGCACAGTGAATCCACAAGTCCGACCAGTCCGTGAGGGTCGTCGGTATCGGGGAAAGAGCTCCTGAATGCCAGGAACATGCCCACGAAGGTCCATGCGGAGTACACAGCTAGGAAGACATTGTGAAGAACGACGAAGAGCTTAAACAAACGAGTGTTGCTGAACGCATATGGCTTATATCCGCGACTCTTGTTGATACGGTTGAGCAGAACCACAGTGATCGCATAGACACTGGCGATTGTGATTGGTAGCCGGACGTCCAGCACCTGGTTATAGAGATCGTTCGGGATGTTGAAGGGCTGCTTCCATGTCGGGGTGTCAACGTGAGGTGCGGGGACGGTCACTGGAAGCTCATGGGGAGGGAAGGCGAGGAGAGAGGCGGGAGGGAAGGCAATGCGAACAATCGCCTGGCCAAACTCGGTGGGCACATGGAAGTCGTGCATGATTATCGCCAACGCGGAAGCGTTCAATTCAACGCGTCAACTAGGGAGAAAGACTATAGGAGAAAAGATATGATTCTAAAGAAGAAAAAGAAAGAAAAGAGAAAACGGTTGAAGTGTTGGAAGCCCAGTGGATCCTCCAGATAAACTGCCCTTGAAATTTCTCAACAAGGGCAATGGCCGACGATCTCGATCCGCCCGCGCTTAGTTTGTTGGGAATTCCAAGGCTTGGCTCCAAACGTGCCGAGGTTGGTAATCGCCACTTGCCTAGAAGAGTAACACCTGTGACCTGTTGTACTCCATTTATGTACGTGCACCCGTGGACATTTCTCATTTGTATACTTCGTGCAGAGTAGCTATGGTGTTTATATGGCAAGAATTGAGCTTCCGCTGGGGCATTGACCTATAAATTGCACTGCCAACAACTAGGATGATTGGATAATTCTCCGATGTCTTTAGAAGATCAGACCGGGAAGTCCGGACATGTCGGGACTCCGGCCCCGTGCTTTGATGCCATCCGCATGCCTCCAAAGCCTGTACTTTGCAGATGCCCCCTACCTCAATAGGGCTGGGTGGGGAAATGCCGCTGAGTCAGCTGGACAAAGTTCCGAGTTCCCCGGAAGATTCTCAACCAAGGTTTGGCCGGCAAAGGTTAAATTGACAAAAAGGCTTGGAAGGCCGGAACTGTCAAGGAAGGAACCCTGGAAGGTGACCTCGGATTATCCAATCGGGATCAGCTGCTTGTTGGGATACTCCAGGGTTGAACCACTGGAATCGGCCCAAAAATGTTGGGGATCTGAAATCAGGTATAAAACAACCCTAATCCGATCACATGCAGCCTCGGTCTTACTGGATGTTGAATATGCATGACCGAAGCACGAAGATATGAGACTCACCGGGATAGACAGGGACTATGATGTACAACTATTGTACACCGTACAGGACAAATATATCGTCATCATGACAAATTGCTCGATTTCCATCCTAAAAAAACACCCATCGACGCCAGGAATGCACAACGTACACAAATACAGGGTTAAAAGTACAGTCCTCAGCGGGGCTTGGTGTCATGGGGAATAGGAGGAGGCCCCCCAAGAGGTGTTGGTGACGAACCGTCAACAGGAGACGCACGAAATTCAGCCCGCTTGGGTGGAGGTGGTGGAGGGGCCTTCTTGCGTTGAGCGGGTTCTGTGGATGAGACCGCTGAAGAATTAGAGTGGGCCATGGGGATAGGACGAGCAGGTGGGCGTGGGATCCGTTTGTTGGCTTCGGCGGAGAATTTACGTTCCTCCACAAATGTGTTGAAACGTGATGTGACTCCACCCCATTTCTCTTTACCCAACTCGATCTTGTCGGCATGGCGTTCACGGAAATCTTGCACAGAGGATGTGCCCCGTGCGGGCTCCGCCGGTTCCAAGTTCATACCAGAAGTATTCGACGCGGGCCGGGCCGGTGGGCTAGGAGCTGCTGGAGAAGAGCCAGTGAGCCGTGACGCGTAACCACTCAACTTCTGCTTTCCCGAATCGATGGTATCTGCGTGACGCTCACGGAAATCACCGTATTTCTGCTTTCCCGAATCGATGGTATCTGCGTGGCGCTCACGAAAATCACCGTACTTCTGTTTCCCCGAGTCGATGGTATCTGCGTGGCGCTCGCGGAAGTTATGGAGAGAAGATGTGCTACTTGCAGGGTGCGACTGAGCAGGCGGGATGGGCGCCGATGGAGATCTCGTGTTCATCTGGGAAAAGCGTGACTGCAGCTCATTGACAGGTGTATGTGCAGGCGACGGAGATTTCTCCTGGCCGATTCCAAATCCAGGAACCGAGACGCCCGCGTTTGCTAGGCGGGACGTAGCATCTTGATTGATATAATCGTGGGAGAGTACCGGGCCAGGGGAATAAGCGGGGAGCGATTCGGAGCTGGAGGATGCATTGCGGGCGGGAAGTCGTGGCGGGGGCTTTGGTGGCCTTTGCTTTGAGATTGAGCTCGAGGCGGAACTTGCAGAGTCCAGTCGCCGCACTGGTGGTGGGGGGAGATTGTCTGTAGAAAGGCCACTTGTGTCGGCGCGATACGGGATCGGTGGGGGCGGCCTTTGGTACTGTTCCTCCTCTACTTCGGCTACTTCTCGGCGATGGGGATCCTGGGCGGTTGTCTGATTTGGCGCAGCGGCGGCTCCATGGTAATTGATATGTTTCGGAGGGGGCCCAAATAAAGATGGGTCTTTTAGGGCCGACAAGGGTTGTGAGACATGCTCGGAGCGGTTTGAGCTGGTTTCATTGCCCTTTCCCATAAAGGATGCCTAAAAGCAAGCAATGGTTAATACCAATGGGCCGCGTCGTGAATACACGAAGGGTTAGCTTACCACGTGGCCCCTGATACCCCCCTGTGACGAGGAGCCGTGTCCGGAGCTGGAGGAGTCACCTTCCTTTCCCTTTCCCATCCAACCGGCCTAGTAGCAAATACAAGTCAGCATCAATGGCCGAGATGCGAGTGAGCCCGAGAGGGGTGAGGGGTAAGGGTGAGCTTACCACTGAGCCTCTGATACCCCCTTGTGGCTCAGGGGTACGTCCAGAGCCAGAGCCAGAGCCAGAGCCAGAGCCAGAGGATTCACCTTCCTTGCCCTTTCCCATCCACCCAGCCTAATAGCAAGTTCAAGTTAGCATCAATGGCCGCTAGAGTTACGAGTCCCAGAGGGACAACGAGGGGTGAGCTTACCACCTGGTTAATGCCTTTGAAATCACCTCGCCAACTCTCCTTCCCACCTTCCTTGCCTTCTGGGTGCCAGCCACCCTTGATAGTATTGCGTAAACCACTCATTCTGCTGCAGACGGAAGTGCGGGGATGACAAGTTGCTAGTTAAGTGGTAAGGGAAGCTGTGACGGCAATATCCTCACTTAATCACGTGCGAGCTTGATATAGTAATTGATCTACAGTGTACATGCGCGTAGACTATAGGATATAAGTGAATAATTTATGATCGCAAATTCTAAGACAATTCAACTGAATTCCTAATGTTCCTTCACGTGCTTTAAGACATTTGATTGCCAACAGAGTAAGCGGTCTGACCATATTCTGCCATCACTGCCAGAATAAGTAGGCGGTACATTTCTGCCCCAAACAGGGGTTCCTTCGGGGCATATGGTCAAACGAAAATATACAAAGAAGATTAGCATGGCCCCTGCACTAAGGATGACACGCTCAATCAAAGAGAAGCTACCTATTTGTTTTTCTTTCACCTATCCTTCGTTATGGAGATAGGATGTGGGTCTGCGGACTTACAAAGTCCATGGATATGATTGGTCCTACTGCATTTGGAAATCATGTGATACTAGAAGACCTCGACCTCGACCTCGAGACGCGCGTCCGGCGGTTCCAGTTATTTATGGGAGGCGGTCAATGGCAGAATATATGTTCTGCCGGATAGTTGAGGGTGGGATGATAATTAGGAATAAATGCGTTAGTGACCTCTTCGGAGCTGAAGAATTGGCTTGATAGGAAAAAATAATCTACTAAGTATATCTAGGTATGTATTTGCATAGTTGAATGACTAGCCGGGTCAGGATTGCTTAACAAAATTCTTCAGTCAAGACTTTCTTGGAGATATCGTCGACTGAGATCGTTCTCAATCCATTGCTCAATTAGCCCAACGGTATCTCCAACGAGGTGATCGTAGTTTGCACCACGTGGAATAAACATAGACTGATGTGCCATGACTTCGTCCATGTCCTCCATTAATATCGGCACCCAATGGGAGTTATCGTTGTACTTCCAATGATGTGACGGTAAGAGTATGAACTTGCGGAGGTGTTGTTTATTAGGGTCTGTGGACTCCGTTGTTGTGATAGAGCCATTTTCAGTTGAGAGAGAAATGCTTTCTGAGAGAGACTGGCTCTCTATCTGGTCGGTTGAGGTTGAGGCAGACGCTGCGGTACTTGTGTGATCCGCCAGCGGAGTACTGTTGTTATCGTCGGCCTTCTCGGTTGCCAGGGAAGAATGAGAAGTGGTGGACTTCAAGGGCTTGGTGTCGATTGCCATGTTGCTCATGGCGGTGGTTACATCGGTTTGTTCAGAGCCACTTGGCGTATCTGAGTGTTCGTGCGAATGTATTTTCGTTGCAGATTCATCCATGGCAATTCCACCCTCTCTTGCGGACTCCTTGTCTTCCTTTTTAGACTTTTTGGCTTTCTTTTCGGCTTTTGGCTTGGGTGGTCGTGGCTTGCGCCCAGTGCTCGCGGTATAGTAATTGACAAATCGTACTCTCCAAGGACTGGACTCAGCTTCTAGCTCCATCAAGTGCCCGTATCGCCGACGAAGTTCAGAGTAATTATTGACACAACCAGCAAATTTGAAGGGTGATACGACTCGATCAAAGATAGATCGTGAGAGATGATCAGTGTTTTTGTTGACAAAATGCAAAACACCACTGAGAAAGCCTCGGTCGACCAGACGCACATCATTCTTGAATGGTGGGTCAAAGTTGGGGCTGAAATGGGCGGACTTGAATGCCGGTTCCAAGCCCAGAGACTCTTGTTCTCGCGCAAGCTTCTCTTCATCTGCCGCGTCTTTCTGAGGCATCAAGCTCATGGTTCCTGTTGCTATTACACGAGGATGGATCCCCAAAAAGGGAACATCAAATCCTACTAAGCCTAAAATCCGATGCTTTGGGTGCCCATCTTGCTGTAAGAGGACAACGTCTGCAGCTAGGATTCCACCGAGACTATGTCCCAGCAAGATGACATCCAGGTCATCTGCCTCATGTGGCGATAGCCTACAAGTGCCTCCATTAGCTGTGTACCCAGTTAAGAATCAAGTAAGAACGGGTTTTCTGTGTCGGCACATACCAGGCACTAAACTGATCCACGGCTGTTTGTATCTCGCCTTGAGATTTGTATCTCGGATACATGCGGGTAAACACCACGTGTGACTCATCCAACGAGGCTGTTAACAAATCATGAACATGTAGCGGCAGGTCATGAAAGCTCGCTTCTGATCCCATAAAGCCATGGATATAAATCAGTAATAGTCTGCGCTTTTCTGTGGCCTGATATCCTCCGGGGTGAGGGAGCGACAGGCTGGAATGAGAGCCATCGGAGCCAGTACGAATATTCCCCTTCATCTCCATCGCCAAAGAGAGAAGCTGAGATAGGAAAAAGAACAACAGAATTCCCTTCTTGGATATCCCCAACGTTCCAAATGCGGGGACTTCTTGGAACCTGAAGTTGCCACCGCTGACTAAGCCAAGCGGTTGGCCCGGAGCTCCAGGAGATCATATCCACATTAAGTACTCCGTATTTAGAGGGAGAAGATAGTGTTTGAAGGTTTGAAGGTCTTTATAGGATTCTAGTAATCTTTGCACATAATGTTTATACTGCTCTGTGTCCAATTTTCTGCTATCTTCCGCGACTTCCGCGACTTCCGCGACTGACAAAAGAACTATACAGTCACTTATTACATCGTAATAGTTATCTCATACCTATGTTGTTGAGCAACAGAAAGGATATGGATCAAGACATTATAGTTTCATGCATCCTATGATTATATCTCATTTAGGCTAGTAAAATTCGCAGATTTCGAATTATGTATCACCTTCCATCTTATATTATTGGGTTGATCATTGATCTAATTTTAGTATTGTGGTCCCAACCCTGATATCTACGAATTATATACGGAGTACTCCGTAGATCTAGATGATTTCTTTTCCCTGCCAGAAAGGTATAAATAGGATGGACATTGGGATTGTGATAGTACATATTATATTCAATACAACAATAATTCCCTGACACTGATCTCGATTTTCTGATCGATCCTGCTCTCACTCTCCCCTCACTTCGAAGTCACCTCTCTCTCTTTTTTTTTCTTTTGGATTTTATCCTGTACCCTCCTTCGTTTCAGTGAAGGTGTCACGATCCACATGGATCGCTATCACATGCTTCATGTTTGCTTGCACTCGCTTACTGTTTGCCTATTTACTTGATTGCTTGTTTGCTAGATAGAAGTTTGCATTGTTTACAAAGCGGTCAGGACTCAGTTATAAGAACTAGCTGTCTCCCACTTTGTAACTTGCTTCTTCTTTCTCTCCCTATCTTAGTTATTCTAAATTTAATGCACTCTTCTATCTTGCAAGACGCACGTCACAAAAGGGGCATGTCTCTCCTCGGTGGACTTGCTCCACCAGATCATTCTAGCACCTAGCTGGAAAGATAGAATATAACCAAGCAATTTTTTGTCTGATATTCTTGTTTTGTTGGCATATGGCTACGACATTAGCAGAGCTGGGTCGTGCCTGGGCTCTTAGGTAAAGTACTTAACGAAAAGCCTCTCGAGATGGCTATTTCAAGTATCTATATTCATGATTACTGATTGACAATAGGCTTTTCAGCCGCACGACCCTCTGTTACAATCGCAACGTTTGCTTGTTTGTTTCTTTACTTGTTTGCATTGTTTACAAAGTGGTCAGCTATAAGAACTGGCTGTCTCCCACTTTACAACTTGCTTCTTCTTTCTCCCCTCATCTTAGTCATTCTGAATTAAATGCACTCTTCTTTGCAAGACCTGGCTTGTCACACCCTCCTCCCGCCCCCCCCCCCCCTTTCCCCCCTTGACCGCCCGACCCCCCGTACCCAGCCCTGGAGCGCTCGGAAGGGGATTGACGAAGCAGAGACACGCCCCGCACGTGTCCTGTAGGCTTATCTCCGCCGTCGGGGGGCTATCAAACTGTCAAGTACAGCCAGACCGGTGAAGTCCGTCACAGTAGATCATCTGGCGGGTTGCAAGTGCGAGGGGTGTCGAGACGACAGATTTGCCCGAGCGGATTCAACAGAGCGAGGGGGTGAATGAGTGCGAATAATTCGAAGCCGGATAGTTGAGTTATAGCCCACGCATTTGTATCATTTTATGTACATTATGGCACTGAAAGCAGAAATGGAGGCTGTACTCTCATCTTACTCCTTGTTAAGATGGGCACTTACTATTGGCTCATTGAACTACTGTCAGCATTGGCGTCAAAGCATAATGATCCAATAATAAAGTGCCCCATAAAACGTTAGACAACTTACGAACTCCCTAGTTAGGGTTGATCCTACGTGGCCCCATATTAGCGCAGACTGTCGTAAAAATAGACTGTGAGCATCTCTAAGCCTCATGGAAAATGAGGTTTCGATGATTTGTACATCTCGATAATTATTTAAATTATTATGTGACGTTTAATTTGAGGAGCTGACATGTTAGTTCGAAGGGATCAGAGTAATATGAGATTTCATTGACAAGTCTAATGCATGTTGAAGCGCTTCTTTGTTAGAGCGTCTCATCCCGAGGGCAGTGCTTTTACCCCCACCCTCTGGGGCTGGTCTGCTGTGCATGATCTATGAATATCACTTCTACTCTTCCAAAGACTTTTTTGGCATCTCGCATTTCTTGCTACCTTCCAACTTCTTTCGAATCTGGGCATATTATATTATTCTATACAAAGATATCCGGGAGGTACCTAGAGCGGTTATTGAATGAGAATTCTAGCGCCAGTGTCTTTTGTACTATCTTTCGTGGCGGTTCTTTGTCTTCGCTTTGGGGCCTTCACATAAGACAAAAGTGCCCCGAAGAATCCAACCTCAACCCACCATACCTGCTATGGCAAGATTCTTGAGATTCTTGCCATTTGCAATGTTGGGCACTGGACTGGACGATGCAGATACCTCAGATTCCTATAGATCGGAATATGCCCCCTCATCGGTGGCATCAGCGGGCCAGGATGTTGTATTCACGACAGCACCCGGCTCAAAAAACAAGAATTTTGCAGACGCGTCAAGCTGGGCAGATCCAGCAGTGACAGGTATCTTTCCTGGAACAGTTTCATGGCCCTCAGTCACCGAGTTGACCACATACCCAGCATCAAGTGAGACATCGACTGTCAATGATATCAGTTCAGAAGCCAGTCCGACCAGCGTACTGGATGCAACATCATATACTTCATCACCATCATCAACATCGACCACACCGTCAAGTACATTCCCATCCTCTCTCACATCCACCACAACAACAACCACAATCTCAGCCTCAGCCTCAGCCACAGCCTCAGAAACAACCTCAGTAAACAGCGATTCAACCACTTTTTCCGGTGGCCCATCAAAAACAACGAAAATCGCCATAGCAGTCCCAGTCTCAGTAATCGGCCTAGCTCTAATCCTAGCGCTGCTATTCTTCCTCTCCCGCCGACGGCGCCGGGAAAAGGAACGCAACGCCTTGCCACCACCCTACGACATAGCAGCAGGCCATCGAAGTGCAGTATCAACACAAGAGCTAATGATATCACCGAAATCCTCGACACCAGAAGCAAGACGTTCACTCTCGAACCCGGCTATGTCCTCAGCGGCCACATCAATGCCTCTGCCTATTCCCCGGATCCCGATTATCAGCATTTCGCCCTCGACGGAAAGTCGGGGCCGGACGCCCAGTCTCGATCCCAGTCCCGACTCAAGCTCCGTGCGCCGCATGCCGATGGCCCATGGACCTGGTGATTCTGAGGCGGAGCTTGGGGTTGCGGTGGCTGTTTCGATGGCGCAGAGGCGAAGTGCTACGGAGCAGGACCTTAGAGCTCGGGTTGCGTCTGTTGGATCGTCGAGGGGGCCGTCGCGGTTGGCTAGGATGCCGTTTGAGGACTTTTCGGATGATGAGGTCGGTATTGGCATTGGTATTGGTGGTTCGGATGATGATGATGATGATGGCGCTGTTTCTGATGTGTCGGATTTGGATGGGCGGAGGAGGGAGAGGGACTTTGATGAAGTTTCTGTGGTCTCGACTTTTGATGAGGTGTCGCCGATAGGTGAGCAGGAGAGGCGGTTTCGGGGAACTTGAAGGTGCCGGTAAGATGATATGATATAATGAAGCTAAGCTTGGTCTAGAGCTTCTTTTACGTGGGTTTCTTTTGGTTCCTGGAGTTTGTGAGTCCGAAGTTTTCGTTGTAAGGTACAAGTTGTGTATTTCAGACTACGTATTTGAATAGGACTGGAATGGTATCCTGGCCATCCTGACCATCGTAGTTGTCATGGTATTGGGAATTTCGAGGCCATGTGCAGTGTGGAAATGAACTGTTGGTGCCTATTCTTATTCCGATTATCTTGCACCACCGAATTCAGCCTTGTGGGCTGTGGCCTTTCCGTGCGTCAATTCCCGAAGAGCCATGGTGGCGTACTGGCTTGATCCCAACTGGAATTTCAACACAACGGCCAGCTTATCAGCTGCAGTCTCATCGGCCATGGCGGTATCGGTATTCTCATTTGCAGGTTGCAGATTTTGCAAATCCGTCTTGACAAACTGCTCATCGTCCTTGGAATAAAGTTTAATATCGAAAGAGTAGTTGGCTCCCAACATGCGGCTGAAAATCTTGCGGTAGCCGCCGCTAAGGCTAATATCCTTCCACTTGCGGCGCATGTTGGACGGATCAAGGCCACCACCCTGCTCGCTTTCCATGAAGCGACGGTAGAATTCCTTCATTTCGTTTTCGGGGTAGATAATGTCATATCCAGGCTGGGGAAGCACCAGGTCAAAGATGGTATATTTGCCACTGGCTGCCTCTTCGGCCGACAGGGCACGCGCTCGCATGAACATGTCCTCGGCCGCAACGGCACTGTTCTCGCCCTGAGGAACAACGATAATTTCACCGTCAGCATCGACAGTCTCGGCAGCCTCGACGGCAGAGGCAGATTCTTTGTCGCGGTGCTCTTGGATAATGACCAGATCGCCTTCCACCACCCGGTCCCCATAAAGGCGCCATCGCTCACTTGCAGCGAAGTTCCAGACAAGCGACTGGTATGCGTGTACATACATCAATCGCAGGGTCCGGGGGATACTCTGCAACGCACCCAAATAATCCTTGCTGCTCCTTCCGAGGTGGCGGATGAGACTGTTTTCAGCGGAGAACTTGCGCGGCATCTTTAGCAGAGCGTCGGCGACGCTACCGCCGGTCTGGAAGATATTAATGGCCATGGCGCGATCTTTGTCATCATTGCTGATGTTAGCAGTAGACATCTTTCCCTCCATTGCCGCCTGAAGAGATGCAGGAGCATACTGCAGAATAGCATCGCATGCGCCCTTGAAATCTCCCTGGAGCATCTTGACACCGACTGTATCCGTTCGGGTTGCGAAGGTTCCAAATCGCTGGAGACCGTAGTAGTTGAAGTATCCCCGCTGGTAGAGGTTCTTCAAAGAGGTACCGACGACCTCGGACGCCTTGGCAATTGCAGCCTGAGGATCGCTCATGCTCACGCCGGGAATTTCAACGTCGCGCAGAGTAATCACGAACTCGTTTCCCTGCAAATCTCCAAGGTCCAGGCCATGCTTGCGATACTGAAAGTCTCCAATACGAGCATTGCGAAGTTCCGAGTTCACTTCTACAAGCCGAGCGAGGCGAACGCGCACAGCACAGGCACGCTGCACGGTCACACCCCGCCTATCCTTGGTTCCAGCAAATTGGAGAGCCTTGGCGTTCATCCTCAATGAGCGAGCGATGTAATTGATGACTTCCATTGTGTCCTTGTTCTCCTTGTAGATCGTGAAATGCAGATATGGCCCCCCGAGTTCTTCCCAGTTTGTCCGGTGGCCCTGGACCCGGGCGTTGGCGCGTCCTGCGGTCGCACCGCGTTGGAAACGGTTGTTTGCCGCAGTGATTGACATGTTTCCATCTGCGTCGGTAGTAGATTCTAGCTGGGAATTGAAAATGCGACGGATGGCCTGGTGGATCTTGGTGCGAAGGTCGCGATCAGACACGGCAAAGGTGACACTGCCGAATTCACTAGGTCGACCTTTTGGCTTAGCCATGGCGAATTTATGGAGCGCAATTATTTCGGCAGCATTTTGAGCGCCAAAGTATTCCTCCAGAAGAGTGTGGTCCTCCTCTGAGACCTTGATCTGAGCTGGTGTTTCCGCTTCCTTGGCTGGGGTTTGCTCTGCAGCCTGGGTTTGCACCTCTGGGACTGTTGACGCAGGCGTACGCTCTGTAACAGTAGTTACAGAGTTGTCGGGCTCGGTGATCGTATGGATGCTTCGAAGGTGGACAACTTCGCCGGTGGTCATGATCTCATTGACCATAAAATCTGTGTACCTGCGCATGATTATTAGCGCAATTCTCAAGTGGAGTAAAGAATAGCTCACCTCTTCTTCAGGATACCCGAGAATCCCTCAGTGTTGCTCACAAACTCCGTGATACCGACCTCGACTTCCTTCAGAGCCTGCGCATCTGAGACTGCGGTGCTTGGAGCCTCAGTTGCGCCATTGACGGCGATGGCGACCTCAGTTGACCCTACATCTTCTGTCTTCTGTCGCTTGCGCGGGGATTCCACAATATCTGGCTTCTCCATATTGTGTTAATCGTTCGTAATGAGTGGGGTTAGATGGAGAAGGTTGAGCTTCAGGAACTTTTCTTTACCGATTTGGATTAGCGTGGAAGGGCCAAGTGTGGGTCAGCCCTACTTACCGCATTGGGATGGGAACTTCATACTTCACTTCTACATTCACCTCATTGTACGTTTGACTCTTTCAACAATGATAGATTCATTCAGAGCTGCCTCGCCATGTATTTTCTACTAGCTCTATACTGTACTCGATCATAAACATAGTTGTCATAATACAAACTAAGATACTCCCGATACCTTCAATGCCTCAGATGGAATTAATGTGTTACAACAGTGGTGTAACAATTGATCATCAATACACAGAAAGGACTTTAAGGCTAGAGCCCATTGTCGCGAGCTATTAAAAAATGATCGCACATGGACACTCCCGATGCAACTACTATCCTCAACTAGACCATTGCGACGACAATCATTATGCACAGGTATATTGCCTCAATTTCAGTCTGAGACCATCGTTATAAGGTTTAGAGTGGACGGGGAATTTTGTAAACTGCCCACAATGATAATTCGAGTCCGTGAAAACGTTATAATAGAGGCCAATTGTTTCATGGACTCCGGTATGTCATCGCAGTTATAATGTGAGAGATTGTTAATCCGATATTCTATAGATTCTCCTCCAAAATAATGGCCACGCGTAAGCCGAAATGCTGCATAGGCTTACATCAGATCGAATCGAGGTTTTTCAAAGTAGCCAGACGAATTTGAAAGCATATATGATTTCTTATGGAGGTCTAGGCGGTCTATACTTAGAAAGCTGAATAGAGCGCAAGACAGAAGGAAACATGCCCCAGTTTAAGAGCCAAAGCGTATATTGTATTCGAAGGTATGCTGCACCTCCTAATACTCTACTCGCTTCACTCAAATATACGACATCCAATCCCAATCACAAAGAAGCCGGTAAAGGCAATACGCGCCAGAACCAGGAAAGCACTAATTCTAAATCAAACGCCCGGACAGCTGCGCATGCAACAAACCGAAGAAATCACTCAATCTCCGATCACAGCTGAGAAGGTTGGCTGATCGGACTTGTGCTCTGGAAGGAAACCGAACCCGAACCTCGAGGTATAAAATGAAGGTATTCGCCCGCTGTTCTCGATATCAGTTCTACAAGAATCAACCTTCTATCCAAAATCATTCGGTGAGCCTCATTACTATCTCGCGTTCACAACGAACTGCAATTGAGCGGATCATTGACTGTCATCGCACATTAGCTCGATCTAAAACAATGAAGTCTAACTTCCTCGTCGCGCTCTTCAGCTTGGCTCTGGCCGCTGTTGCTGCCCCTACCGGTATGTCACCAGCCACCCGGCGCTGTGTTTAGTCGAACACTTCTGATTGAGTGATCATGATAGGTCCTGGCGGTAGCGGACTTGGCGGCGGCGGTGGTTCCGGCGGCTCTGTGGGCGGAGGTGGCGGTGGCGGCGGTTCGATCGGCGGAGGCCTCGGTGGTGGCTTTGGAGGTGGCTTCGGCGCTGGTTCTGGAGCCGGTGGTGGTCTTGGTGCCGGTGCCGGAGATGGGATCTAAGGACCTTTTGAGGTTGGACTAATGCGCTTGGCATTGTGTAGTCTTGAGGTGGTCTCCTGATAGGATGATAGGACTGGCAATAACAGTTTCAGCCCTACTTGATTTGTATGTCTGAATTTGTAGTGGTCTCTAGGGTGCGATTGGCTGTGAAGTAGGGGTCTGTATAATAAAAGAGAACAGAGGACCAAACATAATAAAACTGCTAACGCTCAGCCCAAACTCCATTGTGGTTCTTTTTCTATCTTCCAGGATGTGGTGTGTGCATGATACATGGGTTGCGTTAGAATGAAATGCTCTGTACGAGACAAGTGTGAAAAAAGTGGGAACAAATGTTCAATGCATAACAAAAACAGACAAGGGAATGGTTATTTTACAACTCATCTTTGGGATCCTCCTTGTTCTTGGGCTGATCCTTGCCCTTACCCTTGCTCTTTTCGGCATCGGGCTTCTTCTTTTCTTTAGATCCCTTCTTACCACTGCTGCTGCTCTTCTTCGCCTGACCGGCGTTTGCAGTCATTCTTTCGTACATGAGGTTAAGGATGCGCTCAAACTCACGCAGCCGCGAGTCGACCTCCAAAACGGTCAAAGCTGGGTCATCAGACTCGGAAAGTTGCTCTTGCAGACTGAGCTGGGTTTCGAGCCAGGGCTGAGTGGACTCGTAGGCCTGGGTGATGGCTGTGAGGTCGGCGGGAGTGAAGAGAGAGTACTTGGGGCCTGTGGGCTTGGCCGAAGCGGCACTCTTAGTAGATGTGGTAGAAGACGAAGTACCGGAGTATGGATCTTCATCGAGATCATCGAGATCACCGAGAGGGTCATCAGAAGCGGATGGGGCCGGGGTCGATGAGCTGGTCTCGGTGGAGGTGGAGGAGGCACTTGAGGTTGAGAGGGAAGAGGAATAGAGCTGCTCGTCGTTGTCGATCTGGTTCTTGATCAATTCCTTCATGGACTCGGCATTCTTGAGCATGTCCTTGAGCAACTGCACGCGGGCTGGGCGAGAAGAGCTCTCCTTCATCCGCTTCAGTGCAGGGTTGACGATGGCCTTGAGGTCCTCGAGCCTCGACTGGAAATCGGCAGTCTTGGCGTTGTCGCTCTCTTCCGACAGCCAGTCGCTGGCCTTGGAGACTCTCTCGGAGAGTACAACTAGTTGATCTGGCTTGACTGCATTGATGAACTCCTCGTTCTCGGCGAGGTCTCGGCTGCGGTAGATGAAAGATTCCAATTCATTAAGAGCCTCTTCGCGCAGGATGCGGTCACGGTCCGAATCATCGAAGGCAAGGAGGCGGCCCTTGATGCGACTGAGCTCTGCGACTGATGGCGCCGGAGTGCCAAGCGTCACAGACTTCAAGCTGATCGGGATAACTTCAAGTTTTACCTGAGGGGTAGCCTTTGCGTCCTTCTTTGAGTCCTTGGTGGATGTGGTGGTGGTCTTGGAACTGGCGGAGGATGCAGTGGAGGATTCCGTCTCGGGCTCAAGGGTGATCGATTCACGCGGCTCTCCATCTTCGCCGAGGGGCTCCTGCTCATCCTTCTTTCCAAGGCCGAAGAAGCCCTTGACGTCTTCGACAATTCCCTTCTTCTCAAATTCCACCTCGCAGCTAACGGTACCAGCCATGACTTCGGGAAGACCGTCCACAGGGCTGAGACGGATCGTAAACTTCGTGGTAATGTTTGCGGTGGTGCAGCCAAAGTTATCCTTGAGCTTGGCAACCGACGCAGTAAGGTTCTGTGTCTGAACACTGAGGATGGGCTGTTCTTCATCCTGGGAAACATGCTGGGCGAAGCTGAATTCGAAATCCTCCAGGTTCTTCACGGTGACTTGCTTCTCAGGACCGACCTGGGAAGTGGCTGTAAACAGCTTCTGGTTTCTTTGCTTGCCATCTGAGTTCCACTTCAAGGAGATGGGGTACGTAGCGGCGTCACCGGTGCGAATGTCCTTAACACGGAAATTAGGGCTCAGAGCTGCTCCCTTGAAGGCAGCACCAAAGACAGCCGCCTCATCCGCGTTGACGTTAGTTCTGATTTTCTTAGAAGAGCCAGCGAGGTTTTCCAATTGCTTCTGGACGAACGGAGTCCGAATGGCTCCACCGTGCAACACGACAGATTCGATATCGCTCAAGTCAAGGCCGGCCGCTGCCAAAGCCTTCTCCACTGGGGTTCCAATGCGGGCAACATACTCAGCAGCCATCTTCTCAAAGTTGGCACGGGTCAGCTTGTACTTGAAGTTGATGTTCTCGTCGTACAGTCCCTCGAAGCTTGTCGAAGTCTCGGTGTTGGCGCTCAGAACCTGTCGAAGCTTCTCCGAATCCTTCCAGAGTCTGGACATAGTCTTTCCATGCGCCTTAATTTCAGCTGGCGTAACCTTATCCTTGAGCTTCGTATCCTCAACCAAGTGGGCGACCATGTCGTTCACGATGAGGTCGTTCAGGGAGTCGCCTCCAAGTGACTTGTCCCAACCAGCTCCAACAACATGAACTTCCTGGATAGTCTTGTTGAATTTGCCGACATCCTTGACCTTACGGCTCTGGAACCGCAAAACACTGGCAGTCGTAGATCCCGCACCCATGTCATACACAATGTGATATTCGGGCTTCTCGCCATCAGAAACACTGGGGAAAGTACGGCTAGTGGCGTAGTTCAAACCGACAGCCAATCCATCACTGATAAGAGCCTGGATTTTGAAGCCTGCCAGCTCAGCCGCCAACTCAAGGCTGCGCTTCTCCTCCGCGGTGTAGAACACAGGGTAGGTAATGACTACATCACGAACATCAGATCCCTTTCCGGCCAACGTATCAGCATTAGCCTTGATCTGCTTCAACTGCATTGCCAGAATCTCCTCGACCAAGAAGGCGTCCTTCTTCTGCGCCTCGCCTAGCCGGTTGCTGCGGAGAGCAACAGAGCCGCGACCATCGGGGGCGGCCTCCAATTTCAACGCAGGGAACCTGCTCCTATAATCCTTGACTGCCTCCTCCTCGCCATCGTTGAATGGAACGCCCAACAGAGTTTTCAGGTTGATATAAATGTCGTCCGGGTACCGAGCGGCCAGAGCGAGCGCATCACCACCATAGAATCGTTCGGGGAAAGGTGCATCGCTCTCTCTTGTAGGCTTGAAAGCAACAGCAGCGGACTCCTTGCGCTTCGAATCTTTAGTGAGGACGATCTCAAGCGGAATGCCGGGTTTCACAAGAGTAGCCTTGAAATATTCCGTGCCGATGTCGATGCCCAGGACGGCCGATCCGGCGGCAGAAGCTGGCCCAGCGAAGCTGAGGAGGAATACGAGAAATGGGAGGACCACGAGGGATAGCATTGGCGAGCTGGATAATTGTCGGCGATTTAAGAACGCCATTATCTATGTGTAGGCTCCGGGCTGCCGGAGTCAGCCAAATCGTCGATTGAAGGGGTTTCTTGCGGTTTTAACAGGGAAAACATACCCTTGTCTGAACGTATATAGACAAATTGACAGATTTTCAATCACTCTACCTGTTTGCCGAATAGTGTGTCGCGGTTTGGGCTAGCTTTGCGCCAGATGGATGATCGGAGAGCTATGGGATAGCTCAGAGATTGGTGTTGGGTTGGCGGGTGGGTGGTGGGGGCGGTGCTTAGAAAAGGAAAACCAGGATGACTCGAAATTAGGCCATCTGAGACCAAAGGGATACTGTGGCCACTTGGCAGTAACGTAACTTGAAGCCTTAAAGAGCTATTAGATGAGGACACGGGTCATTATGCAAACACATCGGGCGACGTTTGATGTTTGCACTGCTTATCGTTATCGCATTATGTCATAGCCCTAATTTCAAATAGGGCTGAATTGTAGACCAGACAACTTGTGGATGTTAATTTATAACCATGATGAAAGGTGGGTGTACAATTAATGCAAATAAACTTCAATTTGCAAACTAATATATATATAACTATAATTAGGGTTCCATAATCGTGGATAAGGAGCGTCAGGTCGTCAGGAGACCCATTAATAACCGCCATCCTGGCGTCTTTCAAGTGAATATGTCAGAAACAAATTTCTTGGATGTTTTTGTTGTGTCTTTTTTTCTTGCGTGAGATTATCGTCCGATTTATCGCTAGCCACTGCCCAAAGCGATGGCATCCTATCTCATCTGACAGATCAACTTCCGTGTAGATCAATTAGAGCAGAGCAAACAGGAGAGCCAGGCCAGGAATCATGGCCGCAGCAGACTTCTGGAGAGCTGGAGCACTGTTGAAAACAGGCGAAGAGGAAGCAGGGGGAGCCGAGGTGGAAGAAGTCATGGAACTCGACTGTGCCGGGGTAGTAGACCCAGTAGCTGAAACACCGGTTGAGGTAGCTGGAACACTGGACTCTGTAGCTGGAACACTAGTCTCCGTAGCTGGAGCAGAGGTCTCAGTAGCTGGAGCACTGGACTCGGTGGCCGGGACCGTGGTCTCAGTAGCCGGGACAGAGGTCTCAGTAGCTGGAACACTGGTCTCCGTGGCCGGGACAGTAGACTCAGTAGCTGGAGCACTGGACTCGGTGGCCGGAACACTGGTCTCGGTGGCCGGGACGGTTGTCTCAGTAGCCGGAACACTGCTCTCGGTAGCCGGAGGAATCACCATGACAGGAGTTGTGGAAGCATCAGTGCAGGTGGAAACAGACGTCACGGTGATCGTGTTAGTCGCAGTCACGGGGTGGGTGTATGTTGATGTGCCACTTGTGATAGTACTCCATGTCACTGACTTTATTAGCAAATGCAATTGACAAAGCACTCGGAATTTCATTTACCTGGGCAAGTGGTAGTCGTGTAGGTAATGGTCACGATAACCGGGGTACTAGGGGTCTCGGTCACAGAGGGAGTGGTCGAAACGGGAAGAGGTGTGGTGGGAGGAGTGGTAGAAGCGGGAGCGGTTGTAGGCTGAGTGCAACCCTTAGTACAGGTGACAACAGACGTCAGGGTGATCGTGTTAGTCGCAGTCACGGGATGGGTGTATGTTGATGTGCCGCTTGTGATAGTGCTCCATGTCACTGACTTTATTAGCAATTGTAGGATATCAGTCGGAATCTTATTTACCTGGGCAAGTGGTAGTCGTGTAGGTAGTGGTCACGATAACCGGAGGAGGAGTGCCAGTCTCGGTCACAGAGGGAGCAGTCTCAGAGGGAATGCTAGAAGCAGGAGCGGTTGTAGGCTGAGTGCAACCCTTAGTACAGGTGACAGCAGATGTCACGGTGATCGTGCTAGTCGCAGTCACGGGATGGCTATATGTTGACGTGCCGCTTGTAACGGTACTCCAGGTCACTGATTTCATTAGCAATTGGAATTTGTAGAATAGTCGGAGCTTCATTTACCTGGGCAGGTGGTAGTTGTGTAGGTGGTGGTCACAATAACCGGAGGGGGAGTAGACTCAGAGGGAGTTGTAGGAGCGGGAGTAGTTGTGGGCAGAGCACAACCCCCCTTAGTGCAGGTATAAACAGATGTCACGGTGATCGTGCTAGTCGCAGTCACGGGATGGCTATATGTTGACGTGCCGCTTGTAACGGTACTCCAAGTCACTGATTTCATTAGCAATTGGAATTGATAGAATAGTCAGAATTTCATTTACCTGGACAGGTGGTTGTCGTGTAGGTAGTGGTCACGATAACTGGAGGAGTACCAGTCTGATAAGGAGTCGAGGTAAGAGTCACGGCTGGAGTAGTAGTAGGAACCACCACTGGAATAGTAGTCGGAACCACTGGGGAAGTAGGCGTCTCAGTCTCGGACGGGGTGGAGGTCTCGACAGGCAGAGAAGTAGTAGGAGTCACCACTGGAGAAGTAGGAACCACGACTGAAGTAGTTGTCGGAATGACTGGGGAACTAGTAGGCGTCTCGGTCTCGGACGAGGTGGTCTCCACAGGCGGAGGAGTCTCGACAGGCGCAGGAGTAGTGGTCTCTACTAGAGGAACACTGCTACTGTGACCACCCTGACCTCCGTGGTTACCCCACCAAGGGCCACCGCCATGGTTACCACTGCCGCCGCGGACGGCAATGCGAGGCTCACCAACATGTTTGGGAGTAATGACTACGCCGGACGCCAAGGTCGCGGCGTAGAGCAGAACGATCGGAACGCCTCTCATCTTGACTGGCAAACGAATGCTTATGTACTGAAATAGATAGGGCTGATATGCTCCTTGGAACGAAGGACGACAGGAACCGTAGCGAGAGAGTTCCTAAACAAGCAATATAAACAATTGAAATATTTTTGGGACAAAGGGTGGGAGAGATTGAGAACATGGCAGGCTTATATGTAGCTCGGGGGTTCGGTTTCCTCGGGGCCTTAATTCCTGTTTGGTTGGCTCACTCGATAGCTCCTGTTCGGTTGGCCATGGGCTAGTGTGGACCACCTGGTACCCCCATACTGGGTGCTCAAAACAGGAAGTCGAAAAATAAAAGTGGCGCTCATATTCGAACGCCAACCAGAACGGGCATGAACAACCAGTATGCAGCAGTCGACCCGCATATTTCCATATTTCCAACGAAGAAGATGTACAACATACCGGAACAGGCCCGGTTGACTAGACGACCAGGTACAAGGGTTAAGCCAATGAGAACCTGCCAGGGTCTCAGCGATTGGCGTGTAGTTTGCCAAACTCGAAAAAGTTGTAATATGACAAAGTCAAAGTGTTCAGAGCCCGATGAGCGGATCAGCCAATGGACTCGGATGATGTAGGTTGTGTCTTGGCAATGCGGGAGATAGCTCTGGGATGTCCCATCACGGCATAGAGTACGTACCTATATTTGGTTAGGGTTTGCCAGTTTCTGCTGTTTTTGTCTTTTTTTTTTGTCTAATTTCCTTGTCTTGATACTTTATGATATAAAGTCTAGTAGTAGAATGTCTTTTATACACATCATGAAACCGAGCTATGAATAACTCTTAAGTTTGGCCCACCCCATATGGCCCAGATAAAAGTGTGGGGAAGCGAAACCTCACGAATAATAGTGAAAATTCAAACTGGACATCTATGTACTTTGTATAGATAAAACAAGTTCTCACGAATCTTAGAGCTGTGGGGATCAAAATCGGAGAGCCGGAAATGAATATCAGTCTAGATTTGGGTCAGGGTCTATTATTCTAGCCCAGGCGCTGATCGCGAAATGGTTTGATCGGTGTTTATCCTGCGATAGCGTGAAGTACCTAGACATGCCCCTGACCCAAGTATCTCGTAATAGGCTGTTAAAAGCCCAACGCAGGCCAAGTGGACCGTTGTGGGACAGGCCCTGGCATTTTCTCCAACAAAACATGGGAAGTTCTGCGGTGGGGACTTTTATGGAGACTTGGTGATGTCAACGTGTTGTCCTTGTTTTTCCTCTTTGGCTTTCTATTCTATTCTTTTTGTTTTCTTGTGAATTAATTTACTGGTATCTGCCAATTCCTACGTGTGACGTATACATACCCATGTAACTAGTAGGACTGCCCTATTCTTACAGTATCATAAGGATTCTCTACAATCCCGGTCCAGACTATTGGATTTTTGAATTTCAAATTGGACTGATGACGCCCTCGATCTTTCTTTGCCAAAAAGAAGAATTATGGCGCGATATACCTTGGAGAATATACTCTGCCCCACTGCGTAGGCATTGATTACTTGCATTGTTACACGTAGTCACACAACAAGGACCCTTAGTTGTTCGAGTCCTTCCAAGGTAACTATATTGTATGTACATGTACTCCATACGGATACTTGTGGTTCTTTTTGATAAAGAACGACAGACTCGACCACGGTTCGGCAATGCGACGTGAGGCTATTACCAAGGAACATATGTATATCTTTGAACTCCGGAGTGCGGCGTATCCATAATGGGAATATATGTCTTAAACTCTCCACCACAGTCTCGGAAAAGTATCCCCCAACAAGTCCCCGGCCTTCTCAATTGCGGAGAGTGAGATTATTATGAAGAGGCTGGTCGCATTCCCTTGCAACCATGCATAGTGGCGCACATGTCACCGGAACAGATAACGGTGAGGGCTACATGGAAAATGTGGGGTGATACACTGAAAAAGTACAAAGTGAGCCTGAAGCCACCGAATCCTTCTAGGTCTTTTTTTCTGTGGAACAACCTTGGAATTACAAAGTGGTATTGTACACTCCGTATATTGGATCTGCGTAACGGGAGGTAATTATCGCCAGAAACCGGATACATACCCTGTCATTCTTTCCATTGATAGCTCTTATCTAGTCGTCATCATCGTCCGAGCCACTACTCCACCCCGTCTCGTAGTACTCTCGAATCTCGCCTAGTCCATTTACCAAAGCCTCACGCTCATCGACCGAGACTAGACGTGCGGCACTTGCCGAGATAGCCTTGATGCTCTGAGCTGTCCGTGTCGAGGCGGTCAATGCGGTAAACACGTTTACTCCAGTACCTGTCTCGGGGGTGGGGAACATGTCATGCGGGAAACTGTCAAGAATAGGCATGCGGAGTGGCGTGTGGAATCTATTAATGGTATAGAATGTGAGTCGCCTGGCTGAGACATGGAAAGTTAATGCGTAGAATGGGAAACCTACTTTTGCAATATCGACTCTGAGTTGTATCTCCTGATCTTGCGACGGTGCCCAATGTCTCTGTCCTCGGTGGACTCGCTGTCCCTTTGCGGTTCGTCTCCGCGGGTGACTTGGACTTGGTTGAAGACATGGGCGCCTTTTTTGTACTCCCCGTCATAGGCGAAGTCAATGTCAAATTCAATTTCGGCTTGAGTCGGCCCATCTTCATTGGAGGCTTCCTTGGTTTGGCCGTCATTGATTTTCATTTTATTAATGGAGGATTGTAATTCGAAGATGGTGTGCGTGCCATCTTCCCCGGCGAGAGAGGCCTCGAAATGCTGATATGGCCGCAATCGGGAAGGCAGCGTGACCGTCTCAATCGCTGAGACTATCAGGGCTGTTTTCTGCCATTCTGATTGGCGATCAACATGGATATAGCCGGGCAGCTTATGCGGAACGTCGATAATTGGAGAATAGAGCGATGCCAGTTGCGAGATCGAGTGAAGTGACCTGGCCTTGTTCGTATCCTTCTTGAACTGGTGGTGCTGTATAAAGTTCGAAACTTAGCCAACCAAACTCGCGATTCTTCAAAATGGCACTGTGTGACTCACCCGCTGTGTCTTGGTGCCGTCCTCAATAGCCCACACCCAAATACTTTTTTTTCCAAATTCATCTCTCAGTCGTTCCATATACTGGGCTGCAAATCCGCCCCAAGCATCATCGGATCCGGAGAACAGTTGCAGCGCCCGCAAGTGATCACATTCTTCAAGGAGAGGTCTCAGGTCACGGTCCAGCAGGTCATGCTCCTTATCAAGGTCTTTGAATAGTTCTCCCCCGACATTCCAATCCTCAAAGGGCATGTTCTGGGAGTTTAGGTCGTATTCGTTTAGCTGGACAATAGACCTTGGATGATAGAACACTCGGTTGTAGTCTGACCAGTAGCGTACGGACTCCGAGGTCAGGCGAGGGGGTTGAGTGCCCAGATCCAAGCTTTTCTGATATTCACTTGGTTGAATTGGAGTTTGCTTTTGGACTATCTCTTGTCCATCCCTGCCAGACATTAGTTTGAAAAACTTGTTCATCAATTTGACTTGCATACCATAATCCTTGACCTGCTGTGGAGTCTTCACTTAGCTCGTAAAGTGCGTTGTATCGGCGCAATGTTCCAAATCCGCCCTTCAGATCATAGATTACTGTGCGTGGGGTGTAGGTTTCGGAGCCATCTGCTCCAACACCCGGTCGAAAATGAACATCATGATCAATATCTGACTGTTCTCCATCATAGGTAAAGTATGATTCCTAGATATATATCAGACCGAAGTTCATATGTGATCGTGGTTGACAGTACCTGCAGGTTCCAAAAATGTGTTGCTAGATAATTAGCCCGCTGACCAAGCTGAAGTGTAACAATTTCATGCATATTGATGGACACAATTGACACTTGCAGTGTAGCCCCTCGGTGAATTTTGATATCGACAATGCCCGCCAAAGACGCACAGACATAACCAAAACATGACGCTAGGCCGGATGTGGGGAGTACCGCACGTGAGTGACTAACCACATCTGGGAAGGTGCCTAAAAGTCACCAGGGCAACAGTCACATGATCCTTCCAAAGAGGGAAATAAACATGTTTCTGTGTGCGTCACCACTTTAACTCCACAACGGTGATTTCCCCTCGTGAATCTCGTTATTTCTGTGATGATTCTTTGACCCTGTGATCTTCCTCGGCTGGATCCACTACTTGTCAAGCATCTGCGATGGAGTCTCCAACACGTCCCATCCTGAGCCCCTCGAAGGCGTTGAATCCGGTCTCACCGGAACGCATGAATCAACAAACAATCCCCCCTCTCCCTCACTACCTTCTGATCTCCTCACATTACACCACAAGAGGACTAGAGGTGTTTCGGAAGTCCAAGCCAAAGTGGCATTTCTCAACGGCCTTTCTCGAGGAGGGAACACTGCCAACTCTGCATCGAACAATGCCGCTCTACAACGCGCTATGCTGGGCCGCGAGGAAGCCGAGTCCGCCCTAACCACCGCACAAGAAGATTTATCCGAAGCACAAACACGAGAACGCCGGATCAGTGAACGCCTGGAATCATTGTTGGAAGAGCTACACGGTACGAAAGAACGCCAGGCCCACGAACGATCAATTTTCGAAAAGGAAATCAGAAAAGCCCGCAAAGAAGCCTTTCGGGCTAGTTCGACCTTGGTAAAACTTCAAGAAGAATTGAAACACTCCAAATCAGACATCAGAGCCCTGAAGGAGGAGCTGGGAGCAGAACGCGAGGCAAAGGACAAGGCCAAGCAGGAGGCATTCGAACGCGCCTATGCTCTTGCTGGTCTTACAGAGGAACTTGAAGTCCTGAAAGAGAAATTCCGTGCCCTCGAAACAGACAACCACTCGAGCACCCTGGAAGTCCGCGCGCATGAGATTCGGAGAGAAAACTTCGGAAGACTGTCAATAGCAGAAGGCGATCTCGCGTTTTTGGCCACCCCGCGCAGAGCGAAACGAGCCGCTACAGGATCTGTCCTATCCCCAGCTCCGGCACGCGAAGAAGACCACGCAGAAGCCACTCCTCCCAAACGCCCACGTTTGTCGGATTGTGCACCAAAAGCGGAGAGTGAAAAAGTTACATCCGAGAAGGTTGCTGAACTAGACGAGGATATGTTGGAGGAGATTAGGGAAGAGCTAATCTTCGAGCGTCGTCGGAGAGTCGCAGCCGAAGATATGGTGCATTTCTTGAACATTGAGTGCCAGTTCGAACGCTGCTCTTGCAGGCTTGCAGAGAGCCAAGGTCGTCGCTACATTTACGATGCTGAGTACTATAACAAATTCCAAAAGCCTCAGATCGAGGCGGAAGCAAAAGCTCGTGCTGAGCAAGCCAGCATTCAGAAAGCTAGTGTGCACCAAGTCCTTCCTCATCCAGCCAGCACCCCCGAGGCTAGCCCTCCCCCTCCTCCACCCCCCGTTCACCGATCACCTGTTCACCAGGCCACCACTCAGGTGAGATCTCCTCAACATAGCGTCCACCAGGAAGAAACAGAGCCAAGTCGTACTCCTTCAGCCGCGCCACCTGTTCCTGTGCACCAGCACACCGCGCCTACCATGAAGGCTGAACCTACGGATCTCCCCAAGATGCGGATGCCAGAGGAGCCCCTGGTTACATTTTCTCCAGTGACTGGCACATTCACGGCATTCCCATCTCCTCTCCGAGATAATGTCAGACCTCTGCGATTGGACTTCTTCGACAAACCCGATCGAGCCGAGCCTCGGCCAGATGTCCACGCAGGTCATGCCGATGCCTCTGCATCACCCGACTTAGGAATCGACTCGTTCACCCCATCTGGGGAGCCGGCTCCGACCAGAATGCCCCGTCCCACCCCATCAGATGGTGCCGCCGAATACCCGCGTGTACCACTGTCCGTGGAAGCAAGACCGTCGAGACGTGTCGAGAGAGAGCCCTATGGCTACCGCCAGCCCATTAACCCCCCGAAGAGAGCTCCTTCCCGACAAGAGCCACAGTCACAGCGCACTTCGCACCCTGGCGTTCCCGATACGCCTATCGACCGCGAACAAGCACTCGCACAGATCAGGGCGCGCCGAGGCCGCACCCATAGCAAGCAGCGATCAGTCAGTGCCAGTGAGCCCGGCCTCGCAGCTCGCGCCTCGGCGGGATCCAACCCGACTCCTGCTCGGGGACCTCGACGTGTTCCTAACCCCAGTCTTCGGGCTGATTCGAGGACCGAGAAAGAACTTGGCGAACGCCGAGATATGAGTGCTCCTGTTCGGATGTTCCGACGTTAATGAATGCCATGGGACGTATGTCGCATGATGCATATTTATGTCTTTCTTTTGCATAGTCTGCCGGTGCTTGTCCTTTCCTCTAATACCCCCGGCGCTGCATCAATTTGTGTTTATTTCATTTGCGTGACGATCGAAAGCAATATGCTCTGTTTTGTTTGTGTTTGGATCTTTTAGCTCCGATGTCATGAGCCTCAGTATACTATGGATTTAATTTCCCAACTGCATGTCCTTCTTTTGATCCACTGGCTTCAAGTGTCCGTCCCTCTTTTCACATTTCCTATGTCTCATTTTTCTTCTTTTTTACATAGATTTCGCTTGGGAGTGAACTTCATCTTATCATGGTCAGTCTGGAATCAAATGAACCATTAATCATCCACCGATATATCCATGAAAAGATGTAACTATATTGGCCTATAGTACATAATAGATGCCTAACAACAAACAAATACCCTCATGGAGATCTCAGAGATCTCAAAGATAAAACAGTCGCGGAGAGAACCAGCCTCTACAAAATCGAAATCCCACAACATCTAATCCTCGCACTATCAACCTTCGCGCCACGACCCCACCACAAAGAAACCAATTCCTCAACAAAGACCCGGTCCGTCGGACTCCAAACATCAAGCCCCATCTCCGCCATATCCGCCACCGTGATCGTGACAGTTTCATGCGCATCGGAATCCCGGTGACCAGCTCTCGACCCATGACTCGCAGACCCGCCCGCGCTCGACCGCTGCCGGAGTAAAGGGGAATTCCCCTCGTCGCCATGGATAGACTGCCGAGACATGGAGAGCGAAGCATCGATAATATCATCATCATCGTCGATATACGGCGCATCATTATAGGCGTCACCGTCGAAGTCGCTATCATAGCGCGCGATGGCGCCAGCCAACGTAACGAAGATCTGCGACGTCAGGCGGCGGAAGTACGCGACCAGCGCAACTTCGAGCGGCTCCTGGCCTTCCTGGAGGGGATTGTTGCGGGGTGCGTCGGAGTGGCAGGGTGGGCGGGCGATATTCTGGATGCTTGCCAGAAGGCGGGAGTCTTGTTCTGCCTGCTGTTCTTCTTCTTCCTCTGAGAGGCCGTCGCGGTTCTCGCCGGCGGAGGCCCACCAGATGAAGGAAGTGTAGGCAAGGCGGGTCCAGGAGACTGGCTCGACGATCGGGCTGAAGGAGTAGGCTGAGTCTGTGTCTGAGGGGTCTTGTTCTGGGGATGTGGGGCGGTCGTTGGAGAATTGGCGGAGTCCGCGGCGGAGCATTGAGTAGCGGCGGGCGTCGCGCTGGGTTGCCTTTAGCTGGATTTGTTGGGTTTGGTTGGGTTTGCCGCCTGTGTGATGAACTAGGGAGATTTTGGGGAAGGCTCGCTCGGCGGTTTGTTGTGAATATGGTGTGGGGAGGGTGATGAGGACGTCGAAGAGATCGGGTTTCATGGTTAAGACAGTGTCTGTGGAACAGGCGATCCAGCTTGGGTCTGTTTCAAGGTCTATTATGCTGCGCGACGGATCGAAGGAGGAGAGGTAGGGGATATCATGGATGCCGACGTTGAAGAGGGGACGGGGGCGTAGTGGTGGTATGCGATCGTCGGGGAGTAGCTGTAGGAGGGAGTTCGGCAATGAGGCTAAGAGAGATAGATCATATACTGGATCTGAATTAGCAGCAGCTCAATAACAATGCGCATTGGAGCATACCGTAGTTGCAAGATCTGTGTACAGGAGCCTCGCCCATGAAGAGGATCCGCTTGCGCAGCAAAGCTGCTCTATAGAGGGGGAAGATCAAAGGTCCGAAGCACTCCGTGAACTCTGGAAGCGATGAAGCGGGGTGGAAGGGTGTCAAGGCCGGTCTGAACGTTTCTAGTGGCATTGCATCGCTGAAGGCGCGGTTGCGACTCGAGTGGTCTAGTCGGTCGCCGGGTCGGAAACGAAGACTAAGAGGCGAGTCGAGGGGGAGTCAGGAATTGAAGAATCGGTCCCTCCTATTCTATATGTCTCCCAATAATCAGACAGAAACTGCGTATCCGACATGTTCTCAGCGTATTTCCTATAGAAGGACCATTGTCAGTCGGATCTCCCATCGTGAGTGCCTGGATATACGAACAGCGCCAGTTCCTTGAGCCTTGGCGCGTGTCGCCAGCTTTTCCCAAGTCTTCCGGTGCTGAGAGGCACCAGAACTCCGATCGCAAACATCTTCGCATTGCGCTCGGCCTCCGTGGCGGGGTGATTGAGGAACGCGCTGATACCGGCATACTGTTCATGAACGAAGTATCTGAAGGAGCGCGTCAGCAAAGATCAAATCCAAAGCTTTCAAAGACGTTCAAAAACATACACCAGGTCCTCAGTCACATTGTGCAACCCTGAGGGCAGTGATTTGTATTCAACAACCCCTTCAACCTCAACTGTTCACTCGGGAGTCAGTATCGCGCGTCAGAGCAATTGCAGCCTCGGCTAGATAATTGATTGCTCACCTCCTGGCACAGTTCGCTTCCACGAGACCACATATCTGTTGTCGCATAATGTCAGCGATAGTTCCTGAGCTTGAGAGCTGCGATGCCCAGGGGAAGGTGTAGAAATTACCCGGCCCTGATGTCGAAGCTGATGACGAACAAGGCGGCAATGGCTGGTGGCGACTCCATAGAGGAACGTGAGACGTCAATGCCCAAAGGCCCAGGAGATTCAGATACCATTCTCAAGGATAATCATGGGATGCGACGCCATTCAAGCAGTGTCGGGGAATCACGGTAAGTTGAGGGGTGAGCCTGGCAAAGGGGACCTTGGCTATGCGAAGTTAGCGCCTCAGGCAGCATCTCGGGATCTAGAAGTCATTGACTTCGGACAAACCGACCATTCACGGTCTCATGCGGAAACGTAACCCACAGCTGTGTCGTAAGCTGTGGTCTCGGCGTCGCTTGGGGATCGTCTGTATAGGTAGTTGTGGAATTCTAACTCCGTTTCTTCTTACTCGGATATATCCCCCGCTCAGCTATCTAGAGGACCAACGCCAACATCTACCAGCCACCATATCAAAGAAGGCAACTTTTTGGATTGCAAGGAAAATGCGTTTCTTTTATTTTCTCCTATTATGAGAGATACCCACCCAGAGGGGCTATTGATTATACTCCAATCTCGAGAAATCTACCATATACTACCTAGATGGTCTTCCGATCCCCCACGGGGCCCCACCATTACGCGTTATCTTCACGGAGACGCGCCAGTTTCTCCTGGTCAAAGATACCAGGACCCGTGAGTTCGTTCTTCAACGTTGAGATAGAAGGTACGAAGAAGTACTCTCCTCCCCTTTGAATAACCCAGCTGTCCAGCGGCATGCGGGCCTCGGTGGGATATTTGCCATCAGGAAGACCGATAGAGCGAGGCGGGTGATGGTCCAGTCTCTGGCCTACAAACGCATCAATGCCCGGACCTTCACCACCGACGAAGTTAGTCTTGCGGTCAGGGAAGTGGTGGTTGCTTGCCCAGCCTAGAAGAATTAAATATTAGTGAGGAGCCCTTTGTCACATGCATGAGTTCAAGTTTCGAGTGCTTACGGGTAGTCAGGAAGTTGAATCCATTGCGGATATCGCTCTGGTAGCAGACAAACAGAAGCCCACGTTCCTTTTCCTCAGAGGACTTTCGGTCAGTCATTTCTTCGGCCGAAACTTCCTCGCCATATGGAATGCCACGACGAATAATAACAGCATGGTCGTGCTCCAAGTCAGCTCGTGGTCTCATTTTGCGGGTGTGTGCCGCAAAGGGGCACTTGTTGTGCTCCTCGACGGGGTGGTAATCGAAGTTGTTTGATGAGAAGAGTTTCTCGTCCGAGTCATCATGGGGAGACTCATCCACGGGGGTTCCTTGATATTGTTTAGCGAATTGTTGCGCAAATTTTAAAGATTCTAAGTTGCGACGAACCGTTCTTCCATCTTCCCATCAAGTATGCAGCAAGCTTTTCGGCTGGCTTGGGGTGGTCTTGAGTAAAAGGGGCGTGCCTAGCGTTTTCCTCCATGAACCTATAGACTTGATCAATACCAAACAGCAAACAATACAGCAAGAAGAGGTCACCCACTCGTCAAATTCAGGAACAAGTTGCTGAAGGTCGCGGAAAACAAGGAAACTGCCATCTTTGGCCCATGCTGGTTGGCCCATAGGGTCGCCCTCATGTCCGCAAACAATCAATCTGCATTTCATCAGTCTGATAGTCCTTCATTCAACAACGACGAGCACACTTACCCTGACTTTGTGGCCTTGGGCTCCTTTCCCACGGGTTGCCTTTCATCCCAGCCCTCAATTACAGGCTGACTGATTCCATCCTTGAATCCGAAACTGAATATAAAGGTAAGTTTGGCGCGAAAAGACTCCTGGGGTTGATAAGTACTTACTGCTCTTTTCCCTTCATAGCGCCTGGGCGAACCTTTCCTTCTCTGACCAGGGTAAACTCTATAGAAGGGTTCTGGCTGAGTACATATGTATCTGGGTTGAGAGGTACTCCCTCCTCGGCCAGGAAATGTTGCTTCACCTCACTGATCGTGGTATCCAAATCGCGCTTCAGGCTTGCGGTCACCATAATCACACCATCAATGAGTCTCTCGTTATCATTGGTGGGCTTGTATTCCTTTCGAAGCTCCTGGGGGTTGTCCCACCCCTCGCCGACAAGATCCGCATACATGCCCTTTTCGAACAATCCACCACGGAGTTGTTGCTTTCGGAAGACTGTTGATAGTTGTCTGTCATTTTTGACGAAAGCCTGATCATTGGAATTCACAAATGCTCCAAGCTATGAGTGGTCGCTTATCAGTATTTGTTTAATCTCAGTGACAACAGTTGGATGATAACTTACTGCCTCAAGACCGGTCGAGGTAAAGGCAATGTTGATTCCCGGTAAACCTTGAAGCTTAGCTGATCTCTTTGCCAGTTCGGCCTCCTTCTTTGCCCGCTTAATGGTCTCACCCATCTCACAGGCATCTTGGCCGGTGGTGATCTTGGGAATAAATGTCTTCAGTCGGTTCTTGAAATCAACTTGGTTTCGAACGCGAAAAAAGAGAAAGGTTTGAAATCTTTTTGGGAGACCCGGCCTGATGAAGGTAAGTATTATTGAAAGACCATGCCGATATGAATACTCGGCAGCATGGAAAACTCACCAAACATCTCCTTGGATATTTGCCTTAATGGCTGATGTAAGACTCATGATGGAAGGTCGGACTCCTAAAGAGTATACGATCTGGTGTCAATGAAGGCTACTCCCGAACCACAAGGGTTGACTTGAGGGGACAGGATAATTATATGAGAAAGACGGGGGTACGCCACTTTCTGACGCAGCAAGAATTCTATTTTTCTAACAAAAAAGCAAAGGAAGGAGGCGGGTCTGTGATTGAACCGTAGCATTCAATTACTGGATCAGATCGTCCATTAGATAGGCATATTCGACACCGGTGTTATTACCGAGGGAGTTCTAATAGTAGTGATCGATCACAGCCACATTCAGCTATACGAGCATCTCCGGGGAGAGGGGAAGGGCATACGCCTAAAGATGCGAACTCACTGCCCCACAGGTCATTGCTCGAATGTATGTATTCCTAATTCACAGATGATTATAGGGTTTCGTTTCCTCCGATGCTAGAGATCAACATGGCCCACTTCCCAGTTACATTTGAGTGTGGGTCCCTCTAAGCAAATGAGATGGCATATTTTAGAATATCACGAACATCACGGTTCCTGGGGGCTTGTGCGGAGTACTCCGTGCTCCATACATATAACACACTGACTGCAGTAGTGGAGATAGCAGAATATCCATATCCGGCAATGTAGGATGTACATCGTTCAGATCTCTAGGCTTCAGCCGTGATCCACCTAGCTGAATTCGAATACCATTCATGTCGACCGAACATTTTAGTCAATCAAAAGATATGCTACAAGTCATGACTGTCGATTGTTCGGGTATGAATGTAACATGATAACTATGTAGGGCGCTGCTGACCCAACAGCTTGAAAATGGAAAATCATGAAGTTAAAGGAATGTGGGGATAGCTTTTAGCTTTCCACTTGACAAATTGCGGGCTCATATTGCAATAGCTCGAGGAGCGACATATATAGCTCACATCTGCAAGAGTTAGTGCATAGGGCAGTTTAATACCCAGAGAGACTCAGCTGAACCGACTTCCACCCTTTATGTTGAGAAGACCTCGGGAGCTGATTCGCTGAAGATTAGTCTCAGCGGAAGCGGGCCGGGCTCCACCGGAATTGCCGCTAGCACGAACTTTCTCCGGAGACAACATTGACGTTCCTCTCTCATGATCGACATGCAGTAATCTTACACTCAATCAGAGCCAATTGGTCAATCAGAGCCGTGACGACAAGTTTTGGGTGCAACCTTGGAAGCCCCACCGATAATATGCAAGCTAGGAATAACCTCACACCTGGGCACAGCTGAACTACCTATCCAGCTCGGGGTGGGCTTGCATGCCGTGTCTTCTGCAGGATGCGCCGATCTTTGACTCTGACCGAGCATCGCCGATCGGGTCTAATTTTTGGAGATTTTCTTCACCGATCTAAGAAGGAGTGCCCACTCACGCCGTACTACGCACGGTGGGCCTAGACAATCACTGACGTCTACCTCTCATGCTGATCTTCAGCAATGCCGAGATAGACACTTGAGTGGTGGCAAGCAGCCCCACATTTCCTCTAAGAGATCGGGCTAAATTGTCATAGTTTGCGTAATATTGGCATAGGTCACTCCGTGCTGAAAATCACTTAGATCCTGAATGACAGGGGTCCAGCCCTGGCGGAGTATTCCGAGTACTGCACTTATATGTACCCCTGAGCACGTCAAGATTTCTTTTTGCACAGATGAAGTGAGCCTTACTTTCCTCTTCTCCTTGACATTCCCTTCACACTCCGATAAATTTCGCCCAATATGAAACTTCAGTGGGCCGGGCTCCTCTTCGGGGCTTCCATTGGGGGAGTCAATGGCATGGCCGAATACATGCACGAAGCTATGAGAGGAGAGCGTGTCTCTGGCTATGGAAAACCCGACAACCCCTCCTGGGTACCGCAGTTCAAAGATGAATCTCCTCCGTATCAAGGCCACCGAATCTCCCGTCAAGACTGGACCGTGATATGTAGCAGCTCTGCTAGCGGCTACCCATGCAAACATGCGATCGATGGCAAGAACGGTACCGCCTGGCACAGTGACCCCTCCGAGAAGGGACATACTTTCATTGTTGATCTCGGTGCGTGGTACCAAGTGGGCGCCGTCGTTGTCCTTCCTCCAATTGATACGGACACGGAAGGCCTCATTACCCAGCACAAGATATGGGTCAGCGAAGATCACGAGAGCTGGACGGGGCCTGTTGCGTATGGAATGTGGCCCAACACAAACAGACAGCGAATGTCTGCGTTTGAACCATCATCTACCCGATACTTGAGAATCACGACCGATGCCGACAAGGAAAATCCCTGGGTCGGTATCGCTGAACTGAACATCTATGGAACTCTGTACACCATTCCTCGTGACCCTGCGCTTGGTGTCTGGGGACCAACTCTTGATTTCCCTATTGTGCCTGTCGCCGGTGCTCAGGAGGGATCTGGCATGCTTGCCCTTTGGTCGTCATGGGCCGATGACCAGTTCCACTCTACGCCGGGAGGTAAAACTGTTATGACTCGGTGGAACCCGTTGACCGGCGAGGTCTCTAAG